TGATCAGAGCATCATTCACAACTGAATTTGCAATCTACTTGTCAGTTTCTGACGGTTTAAGCCAATGATTAATGTTAAGACATTAAGTGTTTCAGTGGACCATTAATGATGACGTGACGCTAGAAAGGTATGGCTTCCAGGAGCAGCGTTATACAAATTAAACTGATTTTTAAAAATCTAAGTCCCCGATGTGCTTTGTCCTTCGAAAGAAAGACATTGCATGTGTAGATCTGTCAACACATGTTGAAATTTGGCCATAACATGACACGAAGCTAACCGGGATTGTGCCAAAATATTTGTTCCGCGGTCTTCGCAAAGTTGTATCATCAGGTACACCAATACTGGCCTGCTTCACTGGAGAATGCAAATTGCTACATCGTCTCATTTTGATGATCAGTATAATCAAAATCAAACAGCAGATCGCTGAAAATCAAGTATCGTAACGGCTTCGCACTGTCCTCAGCTTTTTATTCCTCCTGGCCATGGTATATGCCTGAGGCTGCGCCAAAATGTATCACTGAGAAGATGAGAAGACGTACTGAATGGAGTGAAAGTGCTTAAATTATGCGGACATGTTCAGTCGGTCTCTAAACGCCAGATGACCAACTCTGACAAAGGTGATAAAATTGTTCTTTTCTCTACGAATATTTCTGACATGATGGCATATTTTATATAAATGACGATGGTGCTGCCTGAACTTCGCTGGTGTACAAAAGAACCAGGTCCAGGCTGGGTAATGGAAAAAACTGCTATTCTGAGTTCGTAATATTTTCAGTGGCACAAGCAAATTGTGTAACTGTACAGATTAACGTAGATGGTCCAGATAACATCAAGAAGGTGGATAGGCGAATGATAATCCTAGTCACAATAACATTTAGTAGATTATTACAGGTCAAACTGAAGGCAAAGGGCTACGTCTTCTGGATCTGTAACTTTCACTAGTTACATAGGTCACATGCTAGTAAGAACATTAAAACCACTGACTCAAACGGTGGACCCTTGTAAATTAGATTCAGCGATGCATCCGTTCCTTCTGAAAGCAAATTGGCACGGGTCCGCATACATTTTTATCTACTTGTACACAATCACGTAGAATCTTTACTACGAATTATCTTCTCTTGTACAGACAAGGTTTCAACTGAAAAGCTGGATGATAAGCGAAGTTTTTCTTTGGAACGCCAATTTTCTTGAATTCGAAGTAGATGAATATCTTGTTAGGTTGCGTCTAAAATATTAAAAAGGTAACCTTAGCAATTTGAGGCTGAAACGAAAAATTCAAAAGCATGAAAAACTATAACTTACACAGCGGATTATCTAAAGCTGTTTAAAGATAGCGCTAATCAATTACGCTATACACAAATAGTACAGCCCTTTTCACATAACGAAATGAAGGAAAGTATGATTAAAATAAAATAAAACACTAATGTACCTGTCAACTGAAACCTTCAATAAAACTGGCAACACAATATCTGAATTTTATGTATCTCACCAACTACTATGCAATGCCAAATTTGACGGTAACGCGTATTTCTTATGGTAACATTACGCGTAAATTTTGCATATCAGCAATATTTCGAACTACATTCTTCGTGCTAGGAAAGTGTAGTTCCAAGCATAGGTAATGCTAAACTTACATGCGAAGCAATTTCTTAAAAATGTGAAAATCTAATTATCATAGATCTTTAAACGTCGATTCAGAGAAGAGTCTTTCACGCCAAAGAGTACTGTAGAATTTCGAAGTCTACACTTTCACACTTAATGCGATTTATGTGCTACATCATCTTTTTATAAGAGAAAAGTCGTATATAATTCCGGCGTAAGAACATTTTCATATTTATACGACAGCACTTTGGTAGTAACAACTTCTGAACATGCGGGCTACTGCAAATACCGTCACACAAAGGGACCAGAAAATCATAGAACTTCGTGTTAAGATGTTTCACGAAACAGTAAAGCTTGCGGTTCAGACAGTGACTCGCAGCAGCAGCAGTGAAGTAACGACTTGCTCCCAACAGTTCACACTTTTCGTTGAGCTTTCAACCCACAACGAACTCATGGAGTTCAGCAATACACTTATTTAAGAGTATAAGCACTTCCCACACCATTTTTTGCTAACAGCAAAGTTCATTAAAATAATTAGTAATTATATAAGCTAAAAGTTGCAAACTGTCTCAATTCGTCAGCAGTAACCGTTATACCATCAATAACAGCAATTTAGCATAACGTTGACTATACTGAAACAGACTTACGATGGGTGCTGGTCAGTCCAAAGACCTCACCTTCAACACATCGCAGATGTGTGGCTATGTGAAGATAGCTAAACACCCTATTCAAAAATAACTTCTATTACACACTTCAAGCAATACCCATCTTATTCCTTCGATCGGACCGTCCCTTTCATACCTTCCCTAGCCCGGAGAGGGCAAACGGCGCGCGTTCCTTCCAACTATGTGAACTGCTTCCTATCTCAGACCTCCTATGATCATTCTGCTGAGCGCCTCAAGAAAGGAAAGCCCGCATTTCATGAATCCCTATCCTCCAGTGAATACCTTCCCATGGTCTTTTCGTTGAGTACCAAACAAAACAAACGATGGTGTCTTACGGCCTGTTGCGGTATCTCCATTTTGGGCATCTGAATAGACTCTGACTATCACTGATATTAGGTAGAAAGAAATGAGTATTCAAATTGTTCTGACGTTCTGAAATAGTTCACAATTTAAATCGTGTGAGTACAAAAGGAAGTCAGTCACATTACGATTATCAAAAGCGGTCGCCTTGAATAGCATGACTGTTCGGAAGGCTTTGCCATTATAATCCTGGGCACAATATTGATCCACTCATTCACAGATTATGACCGCAATACCGGTTCTCGGATAAGTAAACAAAATTAGCAAGATTATTCAAAGTTGCACTGCAACTTCAGTTATTCCGCTTAGAGAAAGTAGCCTATTATACCACAACTGAAATCAAATGATTTAATGCAATTAATGTTTTAAATAAATATCATTAAATAATTGAATTAAGCTGATTAGTTTCATCAATCCACTTTCATAGGAAGGTCGCTTCTACAACCAGTGAGTTTTCTCTTCGCTTAACCTCTAGAAGCAAATGAAAATTCGAAAGCATTCTATGATAATGGGCTTGAGATGCCATGGTCGACTACGTGGGTACGGTTCACACAGATGTATGAATCTACCTTCATTTTGGGGCTATTGGCTTCCTTGGAAAGAATGAATTCTCTGAAAAGAGACTATCTTCTCCCTGATGCATATCATAAGTAAATTGGAAAACTACCATCAAGAAATTTCTGAGGTATTTTTGTACTTCCTTGGTGCCAACATTCATTTGCAAAATGAACATTCAGTTACATATGATTCACTGCATTTCAATTATCATCATGCACCATTATTATGGTCTCAGAACTGCCAATAATATACAGGTATTCCACAATTTAATGATCCTCAAAAGCAAACTTTGTCATCTAAGACATTGCGAAGCGCAAACACGACTAGAAAACAAATCTTGACTACTCTGCCGTTTAACCTTTGTTAAACATAAACAACGATGGCAAACACATAAATAGGAGCAAGATCTAAATTTTCCAACTACCCCACGGATCGTTCTGCTATTCAACTACTAACATCGATATACTGAATGACCGTGTCGCAAAGAAAGCATAAAGTAAATAAATAAAACATAGCACACTGCCACGAACATTAAATAGCCATATAAAAGTACTAACCTTCTGGTTGAGTTGAAATCCTGCACCTTCGACGGCCATCACAAATTCGTCGTCTGACTCGAAACGACTGATGATTTCCATTATTTTCAACAACCCACTAAACATATGCCTTGAAAACAAGGACTTAATTGAGAATCGTTAAAAAAAGACACTTCTTTTTCAGAATACGATGACCTTCCATTATAAGGTCAGTTATATTCGTACCCATAAGCGACAGACAAAAAATAACGATGTCCATTGATTCATCTGCAAGTGGAACCTAAATGGCGAAATACATATCCTCACAGAAGAGCTATTACCAGAAGAAAGTCTACTTTTTTAGTAAGCAGAGTGCACAAGAAAAACAGAGCAGACCTACTGCCGCGTCTCTGTACCGTGTTTAGGTATGAAATTTGGTAGAGAAAACAATTTACTTGTCTGTTCCTCAGAATTTCCCTTCTTATTAAACTAATGGGAAACGGGCACTAAAACGTGCAACATAGCGCGTGACGTGATATTTTTCCTATAAAATAGTCGTGTCTGTTTGGAGGCTCCACTATTCGTCGACAAGATCTTATTAAAGAACGATTACTTTTTATAGCGACCGCCACTGAACTACCCTAAGCTACAAAATATGTTTGGTTCGTGATGTCTGCTCCATCATAAATTTTTCTACGCGTTGCTGTAAGGCAGTGATTAGAGCATCGCACAAAGAAGATCTCATTCACGTGTCTTTAAAAAAAGTACTCCGCTGCAGTGAAGAATTCATGTTTAATCAATTTATCTCATAATAGCAAACTCTTTATTCACAATATTACAAATACCGAAGATACCTATGTGGAAGAGGATAAACTGCATATATATATTTATCAATGGATTTTAAACCATACCTATCAGAAGACAGCGATTTTGCACGATGTTCAACTATCCCTCCTTTGCTAGAATAACGGGATCTGTGTTACTGGTCATAGAGCCCTGACCTGACCGAAACACTTTGTAGATAGACTTTTATAGAAAGGATTGCTCCTGCTTCAGCCAAGCGACGAAATAAGTTACAGAAAGAATAACTTAAATACTTAACACTGTTATCCCCGAAAATGATGGAAATGAGGTACCTACGCTAGTCGACCAACTATTTCTTTCTCTTCCTGTTACAGCTGTGGATTTGATGTCAAAGGGCATGTTTTTCACTTATCTTTATTGTTAGGACTTAAAAGACTGATTTTCCCCGCATAGTTGCTCGATCAGAGCTTAAGAATACATGCAAATAAATGTTACAGATCCTTCTGTTTCGGTCCGTAGTCAAAATGTCTTTCAAAAGAGACTTGTATAAAAGTCAAGAAATTATCTACTATGACTGGCTACTGCTAATCGTTAGACGCTTGCACTAACACTTTCTACTCATTACAACGAGTAATAGAGTAACTACTAATTCTCAGTTTTCAGAGCCATACGACAAATGCAAAGCAACGCAGCAGAGAGGAAAAACACGTATTTTTTTGAAGGAAGGTTAAAATTTGTTTGTTGTATTCACTTTTCACTCACATGACATATGTCGCAGGGGGTAATTCGATCATTGAGCTGGCAGAAGTCGAAGGAGTGGACTTTCTGTTTGACACTCTGGCTTAACCTCGCTTCGCCACAACCCATGTCGGCAATTTTGTAGAAACGAGGCCTGAAACAAACGACATAAATTTCACCCCAGAAATAAATTATACCATTACCATTTTGCTCCAGCTTATGCGCATTACTGATTTTTGTTACGTTCAGTTTGTCTGATTATAAAATTTGAAGAATTGAACTCTTACTCAACTAGTTTCTTAATCTGCATATATATTGAGGTATTCAGATAATTTCGTTCTTGCGCATTGGTCATACTGAAAAAAGCATGAAACACTGTTTATTAATAAACAACGCAAAAATAATATGGCTAATCAGATGACAGACCAACTTTGACATTTTGGCTCATGTCTCATGAGCGTTTTCAAAGTAAGAGATTTGTAAAATTATGCGAGATTTTCTTTATATCCGCAGCAGTCAGTAGATGTAAAGCCAGAAGGCTTTCAGAGCCTTACGTTTCTACTCTTTATGAGATTGTCAATCCAGAAGTTAAGTTTATAAATAATCAAAGCATTAATGAACTTAACCATGAGAGTACAAATAGAAGCATAGGCACCGTTAATCCTCTGACTCTGCAAACTTCATGTAAAATACTGACGCGAAAAACGAAGTAAAACCGTCATACTTCCTATGCAAGGTAAATGGCTAACAAGGATACCTATATATCGGTTTCGGCTCTAACATGAATCGTGATCAACAGCAACGCCGATGATCCAAGCAAATACACCCAACATGAACACGGTGAGAAAGATTTGCAGAACACTAAAAAACCCAGATATCTGAATGTACCCGGTGTTCCTTACTTTACAATACTTTATCAAAAAAAGTTTAACAGTATTTAGTTTATGGTAAACGACGCCTGAACAGGACCCACTTTCAGATATATGAAAATATCAACAGGAAGAGAGATCGAAAAACTATGTATCAGAACAGTCATGGAAAACTCTCTCATCGAAATGCGTGAATTCAAAATCCATCTCACTCAACCTTACCTTTCTCACCTCGACTGTGAGAAAACCTGATGAGAAGAATAGTTTTAATGTATAAAACCACAATTGCCATTGTGGCGACGGTGATGCCGATTTTTGTCTGGTATAGTTTCCGCTGCTGTTGCATTGTAATTTAATGTAATTAGAGTACAACACCACGCAGAGAGTAACTGCGCTTCCCAAGCGAATAAACTTTTTCTTCTAAAATTGGTTGAAAGATTTATACTTACATTTTCTTGATGTCCGTAATGATCAAATCCAATGGATCTATCGGCCATTTCGAAACCTGTATTCTGTAACCCTCGTGGTAAGCAGCGCATAGATTTTTGTCACTGCCGAACCACTCCTGCGCCTCTTGACTTGAACACGAATAAAGTTTCTCATTAATGAATCGAAACTGCGAACCTTTAAGTTTCTCCAGCATTCGACTACGTAAATCGCTGTTGGAACCAGAAATTTC